ACATGCAGGGAGTGTAGCAGGCATGTAGGAGGCGAGAGGAAGGCAAGTTTATTATGCTTCAATATGACGCTAATATCATCTCTAAGGCTTATTTAATTATCACAATTCATCTAATAACGTAGAAACATGATATATACTCTAGAATGAATAAAATATGTCATAATGTATGTGAGGATAAGTGATGGAAGTGTTGTTGTTGGGTTTATAATGGCCACTGAGAGAAGCCGGACAGGCTTCTGCCACCACCACTATCCACAAACAATATATGAATGTAATTTATAAATAAGAAATATTTACAATTTAATTTATAAATAAGAAATATTTACATTTTAATTTATAAATAAGTAAGTTTATTCAGGTATACACAAATACAGTTACATACATAGATTATCATACATAGCAGCATATGTGTAAAGTACGTAGAATAACCCAAAAAAGTCAGAGTGACTTGCGTATTTCCATTGGGGTCCTTTTATATTTGCACTTATATTTACACTTTTATATTTACACTTACCTTGGAGGAGATGTTAGTTTAATTAGTTTGTTGGAGGAAATGCTGGCAGAGGTTTAGAGCGGTGGAAGATACGTAGCAGGCCGGTGTATGTTCAGTGGCCCAGTACACATTCAACAACATTAGAAAGTTACTTTCGTGTTTTTTTCTACACTTTATCGCTGGCTGGCACTATAGCCTTTATTGATACCTGCTGCTATAGTATTGTACATATCGTACGTAGAATCACTGAATCACTGCAGAAAGCACATTCACCCTTCTCTCTTCCTCCTCCACTTTGGTACTTTGCTATGGGTTTTTTCTTGAATTTTATTGTTTCTTTCCTTCTCTATCACAGGGCTGGCACTAGAAACTTTCTTTGGGCCCATGGTGGCTTATTTAGCAGATACAAGCACTAAAAACATTGGAATAATACAAAATATATTGCATGTACGCATGGAATCATCCTCTGGCTTGTAAACAGTGGCACACTGGCTGGTACACGGGGTGACTGTCCGGGCCCACTCAAGGCGCAGTGCAGACACATTCGGGATGAAAGCTCCTAACCGAGTTTTTAAGTGTTATCCAAGCCAATTTTTTTATGCCAAAGCGAGGCGTTATCCAATTTTGACGCTATCCGATGCAGGCGTTAACTGAGGGTCCACTGTATATGAGTACTGTATCATAGAATTGATGAGGGAAAAAGGTGAGTGGTGCACTGAGGAGCCTGTGGAGACAAAGAACTTTATCCATGAGAGCAAAGAAGGTAATGTATGAGAGTACGTATAGTTATACCAATGCTCTTGTATGGGTGTGAGGCATGGGTTATGAATGTTGCAGCAAGGAGAAGGCTGGAGGCAGTGGAGATGTCATGTCTGAAGGCAATGTGTGGTGTGAATATAATGCAGAGAATCTGTAGTCTGGAGATTAGGAGGAGGTGTAGGATTACCAAAACCATTATCCAGAGGGCTGAGGAAAGGTTTTTGAGATGGTTTGGACATGTAGAGAGGATGGAATGAAATAGAATGACTTCAAGAGTATACAAATCTGTAGTGGAGGGAAGGCGGGGTAGGGGTCAGCCTAGGAAGGCTTGGAGGGATGGGGTAAAGGAGGTTTTGTGTGCAAGGTGCTTGGACTTCCAGCAAGCATGTGTGAGCGTGTTAGACAGGAACAAATGGAGACAGATAGTTTTTAGGACTTGACATGCTGTTGGAGCGTAAGCAAGGTAACATTTATGAAGGGATTCAGGGAAACCGGCAGGCCAGACTTGAGTCCTGGAGATGGGAATTAGTGTCTGCACTCTGAAGGAGGGGTGTTAATGTTGCAGTTTTATAACTGTAGTGTAGGCATGCCTCAGGCAAGACAGTGATCGAGTGAATGATGATGAAAGTTTTTCTTTTTTGGGCCACCCTGCATTGGTGGGAAACAGCCAATGTGTTAATAATAATAAAAAAAAATATGAGTAACCTGGTACAGTGGACCCTCGGTTATCAGCCGTTCCGGATATTGGCCAATTCGGTTTTCGCCCACTCTTTTGGCTGAAATTCTATCCCGGTTATCAGCCATTATTTCAGAGATCAGCCGTATTGGACGCGTCCACCTGCCGCTCCGCTGCGCTCATGAGTCAGTTTGGCTGTGTGTCTGGGTGAGTGAGGAAGATTCCGTGCATTCATCCAAACATTTCGCATTCATCCAAACATTTTGTGGTTATTGATTGAGCCACCATGGGCCCAAAGAAAGTTCCTAGTGCCAGCCCTTTGGCAAAGAAAGTGAGAAACATGATAGAATTCATGAAATAACTCCTAACAAAGTATGAAAGTGAAGGAAGAAGAGAGAGGGGAGAATGTGCCTTCTTCAGTGATTCAGTGATTCTACAATATGTACAATACTAAAGCAGCAGGAGTCGATAAAGGCTATAGCGCCAGCCAGCAATAAAGTCTAGCATTAACGGTGTAGAAAGTAAGTTAAGGTATCTAAGCTCTCTCTGGGGTTACTTCCCTTCTTTGTCTTTTAATGCCACTAGGACCAGCTTGAGAGTCACTGGACCCCTGTGTCACAAAATAATTGTCCACAGTCCTCTGTGTCTGGTGCCACTTTAAGATTTCCCTAAAATGGGACATGGCTCTGTCACTGAAGTTGTTGCAGAGATGGCTTGCTTCAGCTTGGTCAGGGTGATACTTTTCAGCAAATGCATGCACCCTATTCCACATTGCACATTGTTGATCCAAACCAGCAACGACGACTCAACCTCTTCGACTATTTTTTGATCTATTTTTGGTTAGCACATCAACACCTTTTGCAACATAAGCTTCCTTGATTTCTTTTCTCTTCGCAGGATAGAAGCGATTGTTGATTTGCTTTTGCTATACAGTGGAACCTCAAATATCGAACTTTCTTCATTCCAGACGGCTGTTCGAGTGCCGTTACCGAACAAATTTATTCCCATCAGGAATAATGTAAATTAGATAAGTTCTTTCAGACCCTCAAAAATACACTTATAAAAGCACTTACAAAAATACACTTACATAATTGGTTGAGTTGGGAGCAGTTTGATATTTAAGGTTCCACTGTATATCCTGGCACGCTCCACAAGTTGCACTCCACTCTCGTATTTTTGTACTATCTTCTTCTTCACTTCTATGGTGTTCTTCACTTTCTTTACCACAGAGGTGCCACTAGGAAGTTTCTTTGGGCCCATGGTAGCTTATTTCACAGTTGCACTTAATAAACAAGCACCAAACACAATGAATTAATTGTGAAATGTTTGGATGAGCGCACAGGTTATTGTTCACTCAAGCACAAACAAAGCCAGACTGGCTCATGTCGCCTGTGCAGGGGACGCGGTCATGCGCGGACAGGTCTGGTACGTGTTACTAAACACGGAGCACAGTATGAAACTCGGTACAAAATTGAGCCAGAAAAATCAATTTATACTCGAAACATACGATAGTCAAGGCGTTCGAAACTCGGGGTTCCACTGTATTTTTGGATATCTGGAATGGATTAATTGTATTTACATTAATTCTTCTTCTTTTTTCTTTCAACACACCAGCCGTATCCCACCGAGGCGGGGTGGCCCAAAAGGAAAAACAAAAGTTTCTCCTTTTACATTTAGTATTATATACAGGAGAAGGGGTTACTAGCCCCTTGCTCCTGGCATTTTAGTCGCCTCTTACAACACGCATGGCTTACGGAGGAAGAATTCTGTTCCACTTCCCCATGGAGGTAAGAGGAAATAAACAAGAACAAGAACTAGAAAGAAAATAGAAGAAAACCCAAAGGGGTGTGTATATATATGCTTGTACATGTATGCGTAGTATGACCTAAATGTAAGTAGAAGTAACAAGACGTACCTGAAATCTTGCATGTGTATGAGACAGAAAAAAAAGACACCAGCAATCCTACCATCATGTAAAACAATTACAGGCTTCAGTTTTACACTCACTTGGCAGGACGGTAGTACCTCTCTGGGCGGTTCCTGTCTACCAACCTACTCTCTAGACATTAACTCTTATGGGGAAATATTGTTTTGGTTTTCGGCCATTTCAGTTTTAAGCCTACCTTCTGAAACGGATTAGGCCGATAACCGAGGGTCCACTGTAGTTGAATGAAGATGATGCACACCAGTCTGATTACTATTCATATATTTCCCATTTATTGAAAAAGTCTATGAGATCTAAATGCTTATGATCCAGGTCGGACTGAAATGTAGTCATAAGTTTCATTCTCCTATGTGTAGGTTATTTGTGTAAGATTTCTCAATAATTTGTACATTATTCCTAGTACTGTACAGTATTGCACTTCATCCTTGTATTACACAGGATGCATTTTGAGAAAATTTAATGTAACATATTTGTATGCGATTTACAATAAGTTTCTCATAATAAAAAGGTATTTAAATTCCTTTGGGTGCTATTCCCCCAAATTCAGTACTTTTGAATACCTCTAAAACAAAACTTTATGATTTCAAATCACCTTTAGTATGAATAGGCTGGCTAGCATTACCATATATATATTAAAATCCCACTCAAAGAAAAATTAAGGCAAAGAAACTAAAATGCAGTGAGATGCCCTGCTGACCATTTGCAAGCATACACATGAGATTGCTGTGTAAAACCCAACTCATCTAACATACAATCAATATACAGTGGACCCCCGCATAACGATCACCTCCGAATGCGACCAATTATGTAAGTGTATTTATGTAAGTGCGTTTGTACGTGTATGTTTGGGGGTCTGAAATGGACTAATCTACTTCACAATATTCCTTATGAGAACAAATTCGGTCAGTACTGGCACCTGAACATACTTCTGGATTGAAAAAATATCGTTAACCGGGGGTCCACTGTATTTAAGAATTCATACAAATTACTTTTATCTGAAAAGCTAGTAGTCTCTTTGTCAGCATGGCCACATACTCATAGCATGTTGAAATATGACAGGTGTGTTTTAAGCATAACATAATAAACTGCTGTTTACATTCATTAATTATAATTTTTATATGCATTAGGGTTCAAGTACAAGTCAGCTGAAAGAGCTTATTGGATCAAGGGATGTCTTTATGAATAAGCTGCAGGAGCAGGCCAGGCAACAGGCATGGGTGATAGCAGCCATCCACTCTACAGAGAAGTACTCTCACCTGGTATCTCTCATGCAGGTTATCCTCTCAACACTCAAAGTAAGTGGCATGAGCATTTCTGTTTGTACTATACTTTTTTTTTTTTTTCAACATTTTAGGTCTCAGTGTGCAACAGCTCCACTTTAAGAAACAAAATATTGTATACTTTATAAACACTAAAATAACATTGAATTCCAATTTTGCTTTCTTTTGTAGGCTGCTTCCAGTGAAGGGGAATTATTTGGATTTGTGCCAGACTTCTACATAGAAAGTTTAACTGAAATGTGTACAGCATTGCGACTCTATTTCACAGTACCTCCAGAGAGTATATTAAGTAAGTTTTGTCATATATAATTATTGGTAAAATTGCTGACTATGGTAAATGGGCATCAACAGCTAATGAGACATTTATTGTAACTGGATTTTACTTGCTGGAAGCACTGTCAAGCCAATACAAACAGTATAAAGAGAGATAATAAAGTGAGGTACACAGTAGTAGAGTAGTGGTAGTAACAAAGTGAGGTACACAATAGTAGAGTAGTGGTAGTAACAAAGTGAGGTACACAGTAGTAGAGTAGTGGTAGTAACAAAGTGAGGTACTCAGTAGTAGAGTAATGGTGGTAGTAGTAGTTATGGAAGTGATTTGTTATTATCAGGTGATGGCAAGGTCTCTTGTTTTAAGGAGGATTCATTCTAATTCAGTATTTCAGAGAAAATGAAGCTACCTTCATTCTCTGTAACAGTTTCTTAAAGGGAGATTAATTCTACTTCTAAGTACATGTATTTTAGTCTTAAGGTTTCTGGTTCCTTAATCACTTAGCTGGCATCTTTCCATTTCATTCTACTACAACTACAAATTCATGATTATTCCCCAATTTTTGCAACTCATCTTGTTTCCTTTGTATACCTTGTGTCCTTGTGCTGTATTAGCTTCGTAAATTTCCTAACAAGTGAAGATGAAACATGGCCATAATAAATGTCTTGTTCGTTGCTCTTGTGTCCACTTACCTTACAAATTTTGGTATGTAGTTTCTATGCATTTAAAAGAAATGACTGACAAGGCTCTTTGATTAAGAGTTACACACTACTTGATTTATGAAGCCATTTCAAATCTGGTCTAGTGTTGTAAATAATTTAGATGACATTGGTTAAGCTTGTAAATGTATTAAAAATACTGTTAATGAATGTTCTGATAATTAATTTTAACCCTTTTAAAAACCTACAGAATATTGGTGTTGAAGTTGCTTTAAGGTGTATTATTTTATGATGGTCTTGGCTAAAATTAGAAAGACATTTTCTCTTCTAATGACGAAAATATCTTAGGGGTCAGAAAAGAGGAATTAATTTCATGTGTTAACGGTTAGAGTTGTCAATGGTATGATTTTTCTTATACTATTTTATAATTTTTGTAGGCTCTCAGTGTCTTCTCACAAGTGTGGGAGAGTTCCTTGCATTACACTTCTGTGACTCGAGAATTGTGTATGCTGATAGCAAAGATTCCCTTATCCAAGCCCTCGCAGGTTTTGTTTGTCACCAGACAACTCTGACTGCCCTGGAAAATATGCCAGAGGCGAGGTAAGTGTTTTCTCTTGTGTATAACTTTGGAAGGTAAAATAGTAATTTTTGTATAAATGTCCTTTTATTCTTCTGTGAATTATATACCTGTACCACTTTATTGGCATACAATAGTTATATTGTACAGCAAGTTCTTATGCGACACATTCCATTAAGCAAGATTTCCTGCATTTCACAAGTGTTTTTTTATAGACAGGTGTTAAGTCACTTAGTCCCAGTGATATATACTCACTCAAAGATTATATTGAAATCGAAAATGTTTCACTTTGTAAAATTAATTAAAAAAAAAATTGTTTTTTAACTCAGTCGGCAACAAATGGTTCGTAACTTACTCCAGCCTTATGAAAATCGTGCCTGGGCTCAAAATAACTGGATTCTGGTGCGTTTTTGGAAAGGCTGTGGATTTGGGTTCCGCTACACAAGAAGTCCCCACATGACCAATAAATTTGGTCCAAAGCCAGCCCACACCGACAATCCGAACTTCACACAGACAACAGGTAAATTTTACAAAAATCATGATTCTGTTGTGCAACATTTATTTGAGTTGATAATAGTAATTGAACGAAAGCATTAATGAAACAATTTACAGCCTCTCCTCACTTAACGACGGAGTTCCATTTCTAAGACCATGTTGGTAAACGAATTCATCACTAGGTGAGGAGCATACTATAATGGTAATGGGTTTGTGTTAACCATCTTTGATATTTTAATGTCACCTTTGCACCATTTATAACATATCTGGTATTTTTTAAATGTTTATACAGTAATACATATACTGTATATTGTAATAAAAAGAATAAAAGAAATTAGCTCTTAATATACATTATTTTGGTATGCATGCTGATTAGAGAGCCCGGCATAAGTCTGTGTCGTCAGTAAACGAGTACGTTGCTAAGTGAGGAGAGGCTGTATAACTAACCCATAGTGTTTAAATATCTAGTTGAATCTCCAATTTGTGGATTACCTGGAAAATGGAATCTCTCTTATATTTAATTAAGGATAATTTTATTTATATCACTGGCCATCTCCCACCAAGGCAGAATTACCCAAAAAAAGAAATAACAGAAATTTTTCTTCCTTTTGCATTTAGTAATCATCATCATTCACCGCACCGATGATATCCCACTGAGGCGGGGTGGCCCAAAAGTAAAAAACAAAAGTTCCTCCATTTACGTTTAATAATATATATAGGAGAAAGGGTTACTAGCCCCTTGCTTCTGGCATTTTAGTTGCCTCTCATGACAAGCATGGCTGACGGAGGAATTCTGTTCCACTTACCCCATGGATATGAGTGGAAATAAATAAGAACAAGAACTAGTAAGAGAAATAGAAGAAAATTCAGAAGGATGTGTATATATATGTTTGTACAGACATGTGTAGTGTGGCCTTAATGTAAGTAGAGGTAGCAAGATGTACCAGAAATCTTGCATGTTTATGAAACAGATAAAAAAGACACCAGCACTCCTACCATCATGTAAAACAATTACAGGTTTTCGTTTTACACTCACTTGGCAGGACGGTAGCGTACCTCCCTGGGCGGTTGCTGTCTACTAACTTACATCCTAGGGCATTTTTTTTTTTAATAAGTCGACCGTCTCCCACTGAGGCAGGATGACCTAATAAGAAACAAAATCCCCACACATAATCACTGTCTTTGCAGAGGCACCCAGATACAACAGTTTAGAAGCATATATAAAGATATATAACATACCCCTCCAAACTGCCAATATCCCAAACCCCTCTAAAGTGCAGTCATTGTACTTCCCATTTCCAGTACTCAAGTCTGGCTATATAAAAATAACTGGTTTTCCTGAATCCTTTCACTAAATATTACCCTGCTCACACTCCAACAGCTTGTCAGGTCCCAAAAACCATTCGTCTCCATTCACTCCTATCTAACATGCTTCCTGGAAGTTCAAGCCCCTCACCCACAAAATCTTCTTTACCCTCTCCTTCCAAATTTTTTGAGTACGACCCCTACCCCACCTTCCTTCCCCAACAGATTTATACACTCTCCAAGTCATTCTAGTTTAATCCATTCTCTCTAAATGACCAGACCACCTCAACAACCCCTCTTCTGCCCTCTGACTAATACTTTTAGTAACTCCACACCTCCTCCTAATTTCCACACTCCAAATTCTCTGCATAATATTTACACCACACATTGCCCTTAGAAATGTCATTTCCACTGCCTCCAGCTGCCTCCTTGCTGCAGCATTTGCAACCCAAGCTTCACACCCATATAACAGTGTTGGTACCACTATATTTTGTACATTCCCTTCTTTGCCTCCATGGATAAAATTTTTTGTCTCACCTTTTTTCCTTCATCAGTTCTATGGTTAACTTCATCCTTCATAAACCCATCCATTGACAAGTCAACTCCCAAATATCTAAAAACATTCACTTCTTCCATACTCCCTCTCTCCAATGTGATATCCAGTTTTTCTTTATCTAAATCATTTGATACCCTCATCACCTTACTCTTATCTATGTTCACTTTCAACTTTCTACCTTTACACACCCTCCCAAACTCGTCCACTAACCTTTGCAGCTTTTCTTTAGAATCCTCCATAAGCATAGTATCATCAGCAAAAAGTAACTGTGTCAACTCTCATTTTGTAATTAATTCCCCATAATTTAATCCCACCCCTCTCCCCAACACCCTAGCATTTACTACTTTTACGACCCCATCTATAAATATATTAAACAACCATGGTGACATTACACATCCCTGTCTAAGACCTACTTATACCAGGAAGTAATCTCCCTCTCTTCTATACATCCTAAACTGAGCCTCACTATCCTCATAAAAACTCTTTACAACATTTAGTAACGTACTACCTATTATTCCAATATACCTATTATTCCAATATAGAAATGTTAAAAGCAGGTGGGGATATAGTTTTGGAGTGGTTGGTGCAATTATTTAATAAATGTATGGAAGAGGGTAAGGTACCTAGGGATTGGCAGAGAGCATGCATAGTTCCTTTGTATAAAGGCAAAGGGGATAAAAGAGAGTGCAAAAATTATAGGGGGATAAGTCTGTTGAGTATACCTGGTAAAGTGTATGGTAGAGTTATAATTGAAAGAATTAAGAGTAAGACGGAGAATAGGATAGCAGATGAACAAGGAGGCTTTAGGAAAGGTAGAGGGTGTGTGGACCAGGTGTTTACAGTGAAACATATAAGTGAACAGTATATAGATAAGGCTAAAGAGGTCTTTGTGGCATTTATGGATTTGGAAAAGGCGTATGACAGGGTGGATAGGGGGCAATGTGGCAGATGTTGCAAGTGTATGGTGTAGGAGGTAGGTTACTGAAAGCAGTGAAGAGTTTTTACGAGGATAGTGAGGCTCAAGTTAGAGTATGTAGGAAAGAGGGAAATTTTTTCCCAGTAAAAGTAGGCCTTAGACAAGGATGTGTGATGTCACCGTGGTTGTTTAATATATTTATAGATGGGGTTGTAAGAGAAGTAAATGCGAGGGTCTTGGCAAGAGGCGTGGAGTTAAAAGATAAAGAATCACACACAAAGTGGGAGTTGTCACAGCTGCTCTTTGCTGATGACACTGTGCTCTTGGGAGATTCTGAAGAGAAGTTGCAGAGATTGGTGGATGAATTTGGTAGGGTGTGCAAAAGAAGAAAATTAAAGGTGAATACAGGAAAGAGTAAGGTTATGAGGATAACAAAAAGATTAGGTGATGAAAGATTGAATATCAGATTGGAGGGAGAGAGTATGGAGGAGGTGAACGTATTCAGATATTTGGGAGTGGACATGTCAGCGGATGGGTCTATGAAAGATGAGGTGAATCATAGAATTGATGAGGGAAAAAGAGTGAGTGGTGCACTTAGGAGTCTGTGGAGACAAAGAACTTTGTCCTTGGAGGCAAAGAGGGGAATGTATGAGAGTATAGTTTTACCAACGCTCTTATATGGGTGTGAAGCGTGGGTGATGAATGTTGCAGCGAGGAGAAGGCTGGAGGCAGTGGAGATGTCATGTCTGAGGGCAATGTGTGGTGTGAATATAATGCAGAGAATTCGTAGTTTGGAAGTTAGGAGGAGGTGCGGGATTACCAAAACTGTTGTCCAGAGGGCTGAGGAAGGGTTGTTGAGGTGGTTCGGACATGTAGAGAGAATGGAGCGAAACAGAATGACTTCAAGAGTGTATCAGTCTGTAGTGGAAGGAAGGCGGGGTAGGGGTCGGCCTAGGAAAGGTTGGAGGGAGGGGGTAAAGGAGGTTTTGTGTGCGAGGGGCTTGGACTTCCAGCAGGCGTGCGTGAGCATGTTTGATAGGAGTGAATGGAGACAAATGGTTTTTAATACTTGACGTGCTGTTGGAGTGTGAGCAAAGTAACATTTATGAAGGGATTCAGGGAAACCGGCAGGCCGGACTTGAGTCCTGGAGATGGGAAGTACAGTGCCTGCACTCTGAAGGAGGGGTGTTAATGTTGCAGTTTAAAAACTGTAGTGTAAAGCACCCTTCTGGCAAGACAGTGATGGAGTGAATGATGGTGAAAGCTTTTCTTTTTCGGGCCACCCTGCCTTGGTGGGAATCGGCCAGTGTGATAATAAATAATAAATACTTGCAACATCTGCTACATTGCTCCCCTATCCACTATCATGTGCCTTTTCTAAATCCATAAATGCAATGAAAACTAACGTACCTTTATCTGAATACTGTTCACATATATGCTTCAATGTAAACACTTGATCTACACATCCCCTACCCACTAAAACCTCCTTGCTCATCAGCAGTCCTACTCTCTCTCTTACCTTTAATCCTTTTAATAATAACCCTACTGTACACTTTTCCTGGTATACTCAATAAACTTTTTTTTTTTTTTCAACAAACCGGTCGTATCCCACCAAGGCAGGGTGGCCTCCTCCCAAAAAAAAGAAAGTTTCTCTTTTTAAATTTAGTAATTTATACAGGAGAAGGGGTTACTAGGCCCTTTCTCCCGGCATTTTAGTCACCTCTTACAACACGCATGGCTTACGGAGGAAGAATTCTGTTCCACTTTTCCATGGAGATAAGAGGAAATAAACAAGAACAAGAACTAGAAAGAAAACAGAAGAAAACACAGATGTGTGTGTATATATATGCTTGTACATGTATGTGTAGTGTTACCTAAGTGTAAGTAGAAGTAGCAAGACGTACCTGAAATCTTGCATGTTTAAGAGACAAAAAAGACACCAGCAATCCTACCATCATGTAAAACAATTACAGGATTCCGTTTTGCATTTGGCAGGACGGTAGTACCTCCCTGGGCGGTTGCTGTCTTCCAACCTACTACCTACAACTTAATGAACTTATTCCCCTATAATTTTTAGTCTCTTTTGTCCTCTTTCTCTTTATATACAGGAATGATATACATCAATGATCTTCCAAATGTATCCCAACACCTGAACCCCATTCTCTTTGCTGACGACATGACTTATGTCATCTCTCACCCTAATCTTGCCACCCTCAACACAATTGTTAACCAGGAGCTGATCAAAATA